GCTGTGAAAACCCTGAAAAGCCATCACACCCAGCATGGTGACACCATGTGAAAACCCTGAAAAGCCATCACACCCAGCACAGTGACACCATGTAAAAACCCTTGAAAGCGATCACACCCAGCACGGTGACACCATGTGAAAACCCTGAAAAGCCATCACACCCAGCATGGTGACACCATGTGAAAACCCTGAAAAGCCATCACACCCAGCACAGTGACACCGTGTCAAAACCCTGGAAAGCCATCACACCCAGCACGGTGACACCATGTGAAAACCCTGAAAAGCCATCACACCCAGCACGGTGTCAGTCACAAAATTTGTCAAGTCATGTTTCTTTTTTAATCCTTAAAATGATAGCCAAGACATAAGTTACACTAGAAAATTAGGATGTAAAATGAAATATTAATTATGAGATATGCACAATAAGATTAACTAGTTTAAACATTTTTTTTTCTTGGCTAGGGTCAGGTTTGAACCTGCCACCTCTGGCATATGGGGCTGGCACCCTACTCCTTTGAGCCACAGGCGCTACCCAGTTTAAATATTTTTTGAAGTCATGTACTGCATTGTATCTCCCTAGGCCAACGTGGAGTTCCAAAGTCCTAGCTCAGTAGTTCCCAGTGCTGGTTATGCATTAGAATTACCTGTGCATGGCTTACAAAAACTGATGCCAGGCCAGCTGCCACAGATCAGTTAAGTCAGTGTGTTTGGCAATGGTGTGTGTGTGTGGATGAGCAAAAGAGAGAGAGAGGAAGAGGAGAGAGAGATATTTCCATTTGATTCTGCTAGAGACTGGGGTTAGGCATTGTTCAGCATACATGGTCTCAAAAGTTCATAAACTTGAAGGCACATAGCCAACTAATAATTTACTATTTATTAAAGCATGAATTTGAATTGTAGTCTGTGAGGCAGACATGGGTAATATTTATCCATTTATCTATGGTAGTAGTTGTCAACCTGAGGGTCGCAACTCCTTTGGGGGTTGAATGACCGTTTCACAGGGGTTGCCTAAGACCGTCAGAAAACACAGTACCAAAATTGCAGTTATGAAGTAGCAATGAAAATAATTTTATAGTTCCACAAGATGAGGAACTATATTAAAAGGTCATGGCATTAGGAAGGTTGAGAACCACTGCTCTAAGGAGAGGCTGGCTGAGCTGAGCACAGGGTCCCAACTCTGTGGCTCTGTGATCACCTGCTGTTCAGTATGCATTTGAGGGTGTCTATTATATGGGAGAGAGGTATTTGGAAATTTGGGGATTCAAGAAAACGTCGGGATTTACTTCTCAGGAATTTCACGTCCCTAAAGGTGACCCAGCGCACTTGGTCCCCAACATCTCCTTGCTCCTTCTTTCGTGGTAAGAGAGTTTTAGGTGGATGTGTGGCTTTCTAGAGCATGACTGCATTTCTTGTGTTCCCTTGCAGCTATTTGCTCCGCAAAGTATGGTCTGGCCTATGGGATGTGAGCAGATAGATCTGTACCACTTTACATGGTTCTTGTTCTTGCACAGGGTTGGGTATGGCTCTCCCAGCCCTTTTCTGGCCTTTCTGCATGTTAGAAGATAATGAGAATTGGACCTTGAATCAGCCACTTGGCTCCTTGAAAGAAAGCTGTACATTGAAAGGGTAGAGCCAGAATATAAGCCAAGACAGCTCACCCTTGAACTATTTATTGTGGGAGAGAAATAAACATCTTTGTCTTGTCTAACATCTTTCAATTTGGGAGACTCTCTCTCCTTTCTCTCTCACTTTTTATTGTACATAAAATGATCTTGTATCTTAATATATACCTAATATAATCATTACAGTATGGTAAGTTTATATACCTGCTCTCTCACTTCCTAACTTTACGGCTTTCAAATATAAAAGTAAATATATAACAAAGGTCTATTAGATGTGGCATAGGCGGTTATGGAGTATGCAAATAGTTAATATTGATACAAACTTAAATTACAAAAGGTATTTATAGGGAGGGGAATGGAGCTGACCTTTGAGAAACGGACAGACATCCAAATTTACTTTTGAATGACACAATCTTGCAAACTAAAATTTAAACTGTTACAGAAAATAGATGGGGTTTTTAGAAGGCTGTGAAATATATGCCTATCCTTTCTGGGATGGTATCGCAAATGGAGTTTCTTAATTCCTGCTAATGTTAAGTGAGCACTCATTTCACCACTGGATTATAGAGTATCAATCGCATCAATCACTTGTATACAAGCAGAAAAGAAATGATACAAAAAATTATTCTGATGAAACATTTTTGAAAAATTTGCTTCATGACAATTTTGTTCCCTGAGTCATATTCTTTCTCTTCTACTTTTTGGGTTTCTATATGTAATGATACAATTTAGAAACAGATGTTACTCTTTAGCCAAAATGTCTTCCACTGAAATATGACCAGTTGGGTCTGCTTCTGATATGGCTCTTATGTTAGCTCAGCTTCCTTTGGTAAGAACTGTAAACTCTGGAGGGGAAAAAAATGTCTCGCAGGCAATGTAGAGTGAACAAAAGAAGAAGGTTCTAGAGTGCCTTAGGTTGTAGAGTAAAGGAATGCTATAGTTATGATTTTTATGTTAATGGTGGGCTTTGTGACTAAACCTTGGTAGAAAAGACATAAGAGTGTTTCTGTTATGAAATAAGGCCACGAGATAGTGAAAGCCAATC